CCGCTAGAGCCCGCTCGCCGTCGGGTCGCTCGGCTTCGGGTGATGGCTGGAGGTCGAAGACAAAGCTGACATGTGGGGCCCACGCATCAACGAGTAGAGGGAGAGAAGCAACAGGGGTAAATAGGTCATTTCGCATGCTTTGTAGGCCTTCTCAGCCTCACTGCCACGCTGGCGTGCCATGTCAGCAAAAATGGTAAAAATATAGGAGGTTCACTGTTTGTGATGGCAATTATATAGGAACACGTATAAAAGTGGCAAACGAAGGAGTGTCATCCGTAAGGATGGCAAAAAGTTAAAATCCCTAGGGCACGAGGAAATTGTTGTCGCCATCACAGAGGGAAAAAAGAGCAATTGTATAAGAACTGACCTAGGCAAAAGCGACAGCTAGGGTTTTGTCGAACGTCGCCACGCTCGATCTCCCTCTATGACACGGAGCAGCAGTATGACGACGAGACAGGGGTGATGCGGGAAGCCTGCAGGAGGCCGCGCGGGGAGAGCGGGGGGTGGGCCACCGCCACGGACACCGGCAGTTGCCAGCGTGTCGTGCCGCCTGGTAGCCGCAGCCTGCACACCAGCCAGCGCGCGTCCGTGAGGGAGAGGGGATATGGGAGAGGAGCCATGAGAGGAAGCAGGGGAAGAAGATGGCGATGTACCGAGCTGAGCCGCCGCAGCGAGGAAGACGCAGGTAGGGTTTCGTCGAGTGCCCGCGGATCGCCGGGAGGACGCAGCGCAGGGGGGAGCCACGGCGGGGGCCACCGGCGAAGCCCAGCCAAGCTGCTCGGTGACCGGGGACAGCCGCCGGCGGGTCGCCGCGTGCTGAGGGCGGCGCCGCTCTGCCCGTGTCGGGGGAGAGAGAGGGAAAAGGAGAGAGAGAGGGGGGGGAGGGGAGGAGAAGCGGCTGGAAGCTGAAGCTGAAGCTGAAGCGCATATATATTTGTCTGTCGGGATTCGGACGAGAAGCCGGAGAAGCAGCGGAGAAGCTTGAAAAGCCTAGCATAAGCCGGAGAAGCCGCTCCATACGAGAATCTGCTCCAGACGATCACAGCCACACGATGGAAGATCCTACGGCCGGAAAGAATTAGAGCGACGTGGACCCTGCTTCTCCTACTGGAAGCAGCCGGCTTATTTAGGGGAGAACAAGAATAGCCCAGGGCCTAACATGTACCTGCGTGCCTCGCTTCAAATGTCATGACCTGAACGCTACGACGCTGGAGCCGAAACAAACTACGATAAGGGCCCATCAAGCCGCCATGACTTTCTACGTGCCCGTGGAAATTTGGCAAGTGAGCATGGCGACTGTTAGAGAGTGGACGCCATAGGAGAGTGGAGTGATGCTGGCTGTCCGTAGAAACTATTTTTTTCCCCATGACGTCGAGGAAATAAGAAACAAAAAACCGGCGACCATCGAACGTGCAATTGCAATAATGCCTATTTAACTGCGTGCTCTACGGGCGCACGTGCAAGACGTCAGATTTTCTACTAGTATACAGAGCACGCGCTAGTATCCATCAGCTTCGATTTGTTTTCCGCAGATGTGAAATCGGGCTTGAAATCAGGAATAAAGGATGAACAATTGCAATCGGGGTGCAAAAGGAATTACGACGTGTGGTGGTACTGATGCTTGACTTTTTTGGGTTGGACTTCCACTATATTTTTCGTTTCTTAGATCCCGTTTGATCCATTCATCGTGGCAAAAGTTTAGCACTTAAACTTTTATTACTAAACTTTAGTTCTTGCTTGAGTGTTTGATCTATGACAAAAAAAAGCTAAAAATACAAAATAAGGTGTCCTTCACACGCCCCTATGCTTTTAGCTCAGTTTTGGCAAATGGATTAAACTTTAGCTTCTCCTTTTGCTCGCTTTTAGCCTACCTATTTAGATCCATTTGTCAAAAAAATAGACTAAAAGTATAGGACAAAAGTTTTGTCATGGGAAACAAACAGGGCTTAGTCAGATCGAGTGACAGAGTCCGGCAAACCAATTGTTGTTCGAATGTTGATTGGAGAAATCGATCGAAGATCGAGGTAGCTACGTACGCAAGCCGGATTTCTAGCTTCGATAACATGGCTAGTAGGTTTAGCTGAAAGTGACTGTGTTTAGGTATATCTCTTGATCGCAAGAAGCGCAATTCAGGTCACCTGTTGCCTGGAAATATATATAGCTAACGTGGCAAACAATTTTACCATCCTTTGGCTTTAAATTAGAGCTCATTACGCACGTTGCCTGCTGATTGCAGAAAACTGAAAACACCTACGGCTGGGATTCCTGCGTAATTTGCTCGCGAGACTGTGAGAGTGACTCCTCTGTTGACAAAATTAAATTTGCTCACGCCGTCCACAATGGATTTCGTCTAAATCTGGTTATTACCTGAAGTGCACACATCCAAATACGGTTTGTCCACAGAGAAATTCCGCTAGCTGCCACCACGTCACGAATGATGTTCCTATGTAACGCTGCCACCACGTCACGAATGATGTTCCTATGTAACATAACATTGAGGAGAATGCCAAGCGGTTGCCTGTTGGTCTAGGTTGCACTCAGGTTGTTTGAGTTTGACACGTGTACTTCAATTTTTGTTTTCAAGCAAGCAAGTTTTAGGAAGCTGTGGGTGCTATATGTCACCGAAGCTACACACAGTTGTTTTCATCGTTGAACCGACCTACCTCGGCCCTAGACCTTAACATTTGGGGGTCAGGCCAGACCGGCAAAAAAATCGTGATTCGTCCTGTTGATCATCTTACAAATTAAGGGCATATTTGATACACATGGCTAGTTATTAGTTAGGCTACAAACTAGTTTAAATTAGTTATGATTAGTTAGTTAGTTGGTTAACATTCCAGCCTGTTCGGTTAGCTGATTCGTTTCGTTGCTGGTTCGTGAAGAAGTACTGCTGGCTGGTTTGTGTGAGAGAAAAATATTGTTCCGGTTGAAAATTTACGATCGTTTACGACAAACCACAGCTAAACGAATAAGCTGTAGTTATAGAATTGGCTAAAAAATTATTCCTCCTGTTTCAATGCGCTAGAGCTAATTTGAGCCGCTACCGCAGGTCTGACAACCTCTCCGGTGACCTTGTTTAACGTCGATAACCATAGAGACAAAAATACGACCGAGCCAAATAACCCAAAACAATTTTAAATACCATGAACAACATATGTGGCTACAATAATTTTAAAGAAGAAACAACTAAACTATTGGAAGCCTATGTACGCAAATTAGAGGCCACTTTGTACTGTAGTTTTTTTCCGTTTACTGTGTTTTCTGTAAAAATAAACTGATTTCAGTAAGATTCTTGCTCGATTTCTGTGAAATTCCGATATTCCAAAGGGGCTCTAAAACTTATCATCTGAAGCATATTAGTTTTGTGTGTGAAACATGGAGAGCTATCCATCGATCTTGTGCGCCAGAATTGTTGCAATATCTATGATGCAATCAAATTTAAAGATCTATTCACTTCAACATTCGTATATATTGTCACCAACATATGAACCGCCTTTGGCACAAATTGACTTGACAAAAAAAAACAAATTTGGTCAATACATTCAAACACATCCTCTGATATTTCAAATAAACTACTGAAACAAAAGGTCACGCTGATAGGAGTACTAGGTGTTCGTAGTCTCTTTGGAGCAAACGGAGGCTCTAGCTTTGGAGCACAGTGAGCAATTCCAGATGACTTCAAACGATAATGCTCTCCTTAGGATGTCCGGACGGACTGACGTAGATTCCCCACTCCTGTCCACGCCCCTTCCGCCTAATATGCCTGCTCCCCCGATGCTCATGGCTCCTCCATCTAAAGGAACATGATGTCGATTCCCCATTCTGGTGATGCTGCTTGTGCTTTTCTCGGCCTCGCTCTCCTCCCTGCTCTTGCTCCTCTCCCTCCTCCGCCTCGGCTCCGCGCCGCCGTTGTCATCTCCCGCTCTCGCCATCGCTCCTCCTTCCCTGCTGTCGACGAAGGAGAAGCAACATCAGTAGAAGGCTCCCGAGGTCGCACGCCCGCCGCCTCCCCTTCTCCAGTACACCGAGTGGGTGCCTCGCCATAGGGACCGCGCCCGCCCGTCCTGTTGCCGGGAGCGACGCAGTCGCTCATCGGGGCTGCGCCTAGCTGCCCGCCCACTAGCATCCCCCGTGCGACTCCACGGCATCGAGCTCCGAGCCGACGTCAATCTCTGCGTTGACGAGCCTCCATTAGTCCAAGCAACAAGTAGATGTTGCGTTTAAAAGCGCATGTTGCAAGTATATGTTTCAAGTGTTTCAGATGTTTTATAGGTATGATGCAAGTGTTTCATATGGATGTTGCATATGTTGCAATGGTTGTGCACGTATGTTGCAAGCGTCTGTTCTAAATGTTTCATCTATTTTTCAGACGTATGTTTGCAAGTGTGTTTATCTAGATATTGCATGTGTTTTACACATACGTTGCATTTGTTTTATCTGGATGTTGCATATATTGCAATGGCTTTTTAGGTGTTTTATGAGTGTTTCAGACATATGTTACAAGTGTTTTAACTTTTGAAAGTATGTTGCAAATGTTTTATTTGGATGTTTTAAAAGTAGATCGGACGTTGCATCTCCCTTCTCACCTTCTAATGCCTCATCTCGACGTCTCCTCCTCTTCTCGATGCCGGTGATGTTCGGGCGACGTGGGTGGGGTGAGTCGTTCGAGTGGCGTTGACTCCGTGCGGATGGGACGTGCAGCACGGAGCAGACACGGAGAGCTGCGTCTGGACGCAGGTCTAGGGCCAGATGTCCGGGCGCTAGCGTCACCGTAGTTGAAAAGGCAAAATCCAGTGCAGCTGGATCATTTGTTGCAATGAGCTAGATAAGAGTAGTAAGGCAGTAACCGGTAACTTTAGTGTACTGTATACGGTTACAATGAAACTAGTGAGCACTACTCGTTCAACTTTTCTACTCCACCAGTACTCTGTTTGTACTTTCTTTGGAGCAAATGATTGAAAATCACAGAAATAGAAGAAAAAAAAAACATACGGCAGGATTCAATCCTCGTCGAGTCCAGGGATCTTAGCAAGCCTGACGACGCACTCCTCGACGGCCCCACACGAGCTCTTGCAAGAGAGCCCGAGCCCACGCGTCCCGAGGCCAAGCCCGGCCCAGCCAAGCAGCTTCTGGGCCCCGCTGTAGCCTCTCCCGCCGTCGTTGGCGGCGTCCTCCATGCAGGCCTGGTAGGCTGCAAGGAACGGATCCTCAGACGGCCTGACGCGGCGGCTGCTCCTCGGCTTTCTCCTCCCCGGCGGCGAGGCGGCCGGCGCACCCGGCCCTCCTGGAGGTGGCGGCACGCGCAGGCAGTGCGGGTGCGCCGTCACCTGCTTCTTAGCGCTCGCCGGCGTCCTCCTGCTGACTTCAGCCTCCGCGCGGGCCGCACCAGGACCCGCGGTGGGCTTCGTCCTGTCCTCCGCGGGGCTCTGCTCGGACACCCCGGGCTCATGCTCCCATGAGAAGGCCACCGTGCTGCTGCTGCTGCTGCCGGACTTGGACGCCGCCACAGCTTCCGGCTTCATGTCGTCGTCGTCGGGAACTCCTGGAGCTCGATCACACGAGAGCGATCAGGCTCGACCAGACGACCAGCAGCAGAACAGCCTCTCCGCTTCGACTATCTCCCTGAGGCAGAAGAAACGAATGTAGGAGACCAACAGAGCAGCAGGCTGTAGCAGCGCGACTTACGGGTGCCGAACTTCGTAGCCGCTAGCCACCACGGAAACGTACGCGCGCGATCTGCGGCAGCCGTGAGCGAGAGATGCGACAGGTTTCTTGGAGCTTTATAGCAGCAGCAGAAGAAGAAGGCTGGCAGGGTGGGCATCCGCCGATGGCGATGGGGTTCAGAAAGCAGAAGTGGTGGCTTCACCGGCCGTGCCCGTCGTTTCCTGCCACTGCAAGCGTTGTTGCGTCGGTTTTTCCTCTCGCGCGCTTTTGCTGATGAATCTGGCCGGGGCATGGTGGCTCCAACAGACACACGACTCGCTTTTGAGCTCAGTGGCTACTGGCTAACAGAGTAACAGACTGCACCGATCCGCAGCCAGCAGGCGCTTGCCGCGTCTGATCATCTTTGTTCTTTGGTGAGATTCAGTTTGGTACCTGTACGCGTACGGTGGTATCTGTTTGTGTACATATACGGCAGTTAGGCACACAACAACAGTTATAGTGCAGTACGTATCTTACTTATATCGAACTATATAGGAGTATATTGCACATGATTCATGTGCTTATAAAGTACCGCGCAACGTGTGATGGACGGGCGGTCAAAACGCAAAGGCCGTGACTTCCATGCGTACATTCAGAAATTATTCGGCAGGCCGTCGAGCATAAAGACAAAAGGCGTTCCGGTGTTGGAATGTCATCAGCGGCTCAGCGCCGACCGTCTGTAGCAATGCTCTATTTAGGGGACGTTTGGCATAGCTCCAGCTCTCTGCCCAGGCGTACTGTGCTACACTGTACAGAGTAGAGCGGGTCAGCTCCGGCTCTTGCCAAAAACAACCGGCAAAGGGGAGAAGATGCAGGGGCGAGAGGTTTGTGCTTTAGTTCTATTGTTACTTGACCCTTTGGAGTTGTTATTGATCGTATCACCTGGTTTGAATTTGTTCTTTTTTATAATATAATCAGCAACTCTCATGCATGATTTGTTTAAAAAATAAAAACCATCATTTGAAACATATTGGTTTTCTTTGTGAAACATGAAAAGCTATCCATCGATCTTGTGCCAGAATAGCAACAGTATCTATGAAGCAATCAAATTTAAAGATCCATTCACTTTAACATTCATATATATTATTATTATATCATGAACGTATGAGCCGCCTATGGCACTAATTCACTAGACAAGAAGTATCAAAATTTGGTTGATACACTCAAACATATCATCTGAAATCAACTACTAGTTCTATTTCAAATCATAAGACGTTTTCACTTTTGTAGATCCATAACTTTTGTTATGCACTTAGATGTATACTATATATATATATATATATATATATATATATATATATATATATATATAAAAATCAATGTATCTAACAAAGCAAAATGCCTTAAAAATTGAAATAGAGGGAATACATTGCAATGATAGATAGCTTTAGTCCAACTTTTAAGGGACACCGTCGTAGGCGGACCTAGGGCCTGGCAACCCTAGGCACCTGCCCTCGAGAGATACTGGATAACGTGCGCATGTCAGCGGGGAAAAAATTACCATGGGGTGTGGGCAACAGGGGCGGAGCTACAGGGTATGCCAGGTATGCACTGGCATACCCTGCAGATCCAGCAATAGCTTTCATGTATATACGTCTGTATTTGTAAGAAAAACAAAAAAGACCATATCTGCACCATGGAAAACAAACGCAGCAACTGCTCCTTGCCGAGAGATGATGGACTTTCCTAGTTTCCAGGCCCACGTGGCCATAAGGACGCCAGGCGGAAATTCGGAAAGTCAAGGTCCAGCCCTTAGAACGTGCAGTTCTTGACCGCCGACGCCTGGACTTCCTATTGATCTACTAGTATTGCATATTAGAGTCTCGTCCGCTGGCCACAGTCTCGAGGCTTGAATCTTCGCGGCGCTGACTGCCGAGTACGTGACATGGAGGATCGGCCTGATGCGCGTGCACGATTAACGTGCATATATAGTCCGACTGCCTGAGCCACCGCGGTGAGAATCAATCTCTTTTTTTTACTATTTGTCTTTCTATAGAACGATCATGTTTATATCCATGGCTAATATCATCCGGTCATCAATAATATGCAGTGAGATCGAGATTTGCTCAACATCAGAGACAACCGAAATTGATCAACAATTTAGTATCATGTGAGTGTTTGTGTCATCACATATGAGGATTGAGGATTCAATCAGTGCACTTGCAATTTGTTTAATTGTTTGGTATTGTGTTTTTAATAATTGTGTAGTTATCAAGAGAGATGGAGATATTGCATCTCTTTTTAATAATTGGCTAGAAGAAGGTGATATCATCAACGCATTCATGTCCCATAGAAAGCGTCGGCTAAAAAAGTCGGATAAGTAGTATCGTAAGTCTCTTACTCTTTTTTATGCATATATTTGGAGCTATCATTATGATGCTTGAACTATTCATATTGTAATGTTGTGGATGTTTTTCAACTTAATCTTCAAATTTAAATTTTATCATGTTATTTAGTGTATATATGCCGAATTACATTGCAAATTTCATAATTGTTACCGAATTGTCAAATGATTTTACCGATTTGTATATGAAATTTTTTTGACGGCATACCCTGATCTAAAATCCTAAAATCCTAGATTCGCCACTGGTGGGCAACTATATGCGTGCGAAGAGCACGGGCTGCCAGTAGCCCAACTAAAAAACATGCAAGCTAGTTCCGCATTTGAGCATTCACCAAAGGTGCCACGTTCCCAATTTCAGAAATTCTTTCCGCCTGCATCTGCATGACGGGGCACTCCATGTTCCTCGCCTCCTCTGGCCACTAGCGACTAGCCGGTAGATCGCTAGTTAGCTGAACCCGGCCTGTAAGTACATGTATAAATTCCAATTTGAGATCCATGTACAAAGCGGGGTTGAAACAATCATCTGCGTCCTATTTACTTGTTCACGATTCTTTTAGGAATGATGCATCCATTTATTTAATTTCTTAGTTACCGTAAGATACAATGGTAAGGATGATTTTCTACATTGATCGGGAACTATTTAGATCACTCGATGAAGCTGCCTTTGTATATCGACTTATTCACTTCATGTTTTCTTTATATGGACTACATAGATATCTCCTTTAAAATACACTATCGGGCTTTTAGTGGTAAATTAGTAGTTCACGATTAATTTTAGTGTCGTGGTGAGATAATTTATGTGATAACTTTTTTCCCAATAATATGTGCATATGCACACGTGTACTAGATGACGATTTTAGCTCTACTATCGAGGCTATCAAGTGCCAACTTTACTTATGTTAGTAATCGATATATTTGTGTGACTTGTTATCAATTGTTATGTTCGCCACCGTATGCCATTGCCATCCAAGGCATTATAGGAGGTTCTTTGGAAATTGGAGCACGGTGAGCAATTCCAAATGACTTGAAAAGGCATATCCAGCAATGCACTAAGCAGCTGGATAATTTCTTGCATTGAGATAAGACCAGTAACCATCAACTTTAATGTACTGTGTACAATTACAATGAGGGTGGTGAGCACTAGTTCAAATTTACTACCAGTAGTGTTTGTAGTCTCTTTGGACTTTTGGAGCAAATGGTTGAAAATCACAGCAATAGAAAAAAAAAACAGAATTGCTAAATCTCAACATGTTGATTTGGCCTCTCCAATCAACTGATTTTGGGACCATCTGATCTTACGCGGACGGCTAGCAGGGGGCGCAGTCGACGAACAGGCGAGGGCCGGCGAGGCAGCAGGTGCGGTCAGCCTCAGCTCGCGGCCCCAGCCATGGCGGGCGCGGCGCGGGGCTAGTGGCTGACGCCGAGGAGGGCCGACGGCCGGCTATGAGGAGGGCGACGAGGAGGGCTGATGGCCGGCTACGAAGAGGCCGACGAGGAGGGTCGCCTCCAGGGCGGATCACCGTTGCTGGTTCTTCTCCGGACTCTGTTTGCGTGCGCATTCGACGGAAGGGAAGGGAAGTGCGCAGGCGACAGAAGGGAAGGGATAAGGTTGGGGAGGTGGGTCCCACCACAATTTGGGAAAATTTGTTTTAAAATTTATGAAAAATTTGTGGATAATTTGAAATATATTTCTCTGATATCTGCAATTCATAAAAATAATTTGAAAGTATTTCTGAAAAAATTGGCATATATTTGTATTATCTCCAAATTACAGCACTGTGTTCAATAAATTACACTGAAGAAATCATTGTAAATCTAGTAGTAAGACATCATAAATATAGCTAGAAGACACTGTAAGTACGTGGAAAAAATTCAGTTCACAGGAGGGACGAAAACAACCGAATGTCACCTAGACATTCTAAATAAAAAAAAGGATAGGATTGAGAAACATAGGGCATGATTCAATCCTCGTCGAGTCCAGGAACCTTAGCCAGCCTGACGACGCACTCCTCCACGGCCCCACACGAGCTCTTGCAAGAGAGCCCGAGCCCACGCATCCCAAGACCGAGGCCGAGCCCAAGCCCGGCCCAGCCAAGCAGTCTCTTGCCCCCGTTGGCGCTGTCCTCCGTGCAGGCCAGGTAGGCTGCAAGGAACGGATCCTCCGCCGGCCTGACGCGGCGGCTCCTCGGATTTCTCCTCCCCGGCGGCGAGGCGGCCGGCGCACCCGGCCCTCCTGGAGGTGGCGGCACGCGCAGGCGGTGCCGGTGAGGGTGCGCGGTCACAGCCGCGGCAGGCGCAGGCGCCTGCTTCTTAGCGCTCGCCGGCGTTCTCCTGCTTACAGCCTCCGCGCGGGGCGCACCAGCGGCGGGCTTCCTGGCCTCTGCGGGGCTCTGTTTGGACACCCCGGGCTCATGCTCCCATGAGAAGGCCACCGTGCTTCTGCTTCTGCTGCCGGACTTGGACGCCGCCACAGCTTCCAGCTTCATGCCGTCGTTGTCGTCGGAAACTCCTGGAGCTCGATCACACGGGAGCGATCAATAAGCTTGACCAGCAGCAGAATAGAGTGAAGACTGAAGAGCAAGCGGCAGAGGAAACGAAGGAGACCAAGAGAGCAGCAGGCTGTAGCAACTAGCAACGCGACAGGGAAAACGTATGTACGCTACCTGCGGCAGCCGTGAGCGAGAGATGCGACGGGCTTCTTGGAGCTTTATAGCATCAGCAGCGGCTGCAGAAGGCTGGCAGGGTGGGCAGGGATTGATCCGCCGATGGCGACGGGGTTCAGAAATCAGAAGTGGTGGCGGCTTGACCGGCCGTGCGCGTCGTTTCCTGCAAGCGTTGTTGCGTCGGTTTTTCCTCTCGCGCGCTTTTGCTGATGAATCTGGCCGGGGCACGGTGGCTCCAACTGAACAGACACACGAATCGCTTTTGAGCTCAGTGGCTAACAGACTGCACCGATCCGCAGCCGGCAGGCATGCTTGCCGCGTCCGATCATCTAACGGCTGCCGGTATGCCTCACCACTGTCCACTGTTGTTTTTTCTTGGATCTCTCTTTTGGGTGAGGGTGAGTATCAGTTTGGTACCTGTACGCGTACGGTGGTATCTGTTTCTGTATATCGGCAGTTAGGCACACAATAGTTACAGTGCAGTACGTATCTTACTTATATATCTAACTATGTTGGACTTGATTCATTCAGGTACTCATCACGTCAACGTGTGATGGACGGGCTCTACGGCGGACCATTATCTTGTCCGCCGGAGAATGAATAATGCATGGTTATGACCTGAACGCTAGGTTACATCGCTAGAGTCAAAACGCAAGGGCCGTGACTTCCATGCGTACAGGAATTATTCGGCAGGCCATCGAGTATTATGGAGACAAAAATTGGGGTTCTGGAACGTCATCAGCGCCTTACAGTCTGCGGTCTGCGGTCTGCGGTCTGCGCGCATGTGACTGATGTGAGATCCTAGTATATCCTATGATTTTTATATCCAACCCAAAGCTCGTTCTTTCTGTCCCACGTAACCACGCAACTAATTAAAGTTATTATTGTTATAAAACATGTTCCCCAGCGGTTATGACCTTTTTCTCTGCGTCTCTCACGATCAACATAGTAGATGAAAGTAGAAGAATAAAAAGACACAAGATAGGAAGACTATTCTTTATTTCTCTGAGTATTCGGTGATTACAACATAGAGGTTATTATTGTTATAAAACATGTTACCAGCGGTTAGGATCTTTCTCTCTTCGTCTTTTACGATCAACATAGTAGATGAAAATAGAAGAATAAATAGACATAAGATAGAGAGACTATTCTTTATTTCTCTGATTATTCGGTGATTACAACATGGAGCTCCCACATATATATAGTTCAGCCAAGGTCTATGAGTTTGGTAAGAGCCCACATACAAACGGACTAGAATTATGATTCATCCTCCTCCTTTCCTTTTAGGATAGAGTCAGTATGTTTTACAAAACTCCCCATTGGGCGATTACCACGATATGCACATAGCTTGTTAAAAACTCCATCCGAAAACCTGGTTTAAAAAAACAGTTTTTGGAGAAAAGAGTACATCGCATTCATTAATTGCATTGCACATGTTGTCTCATTAAAAACCTTGTGTGAGAAACCTTCAAGTAAAAACTCACATATAGAAAAAGAGTACAACATTTAACCTTCTTGGTCATATATTCTTCAGAATATTCTATTCTTCATGATAGATATTGATCTTCATGATCTACGCATAAACTTCAGTGTTTTAGCAAATATGATTTACTTGATCTTTGTAATTCTAGTGGTTTGCCTTCAAGGTAAATTCAATAAAAACATGCTCCCCTCATAAAGCCAAATTTTAAATTTCATTGTTCAAACTACACTTTTCATAAATGCGTGCTTAGTTAATGGTACGTAGTACCACAATACTATCTCTTTCAAAAAGTTGGCTCATAATTCTTCAATGAATTATATGGGAATAAACAAGAGCAATAGGCTTCATGCATAATAACCACTTATTAGTTGTGCAAAATAAATAATTTTTATCCTTCAAGGTAATAAATCTTTTAGAGGATTATGGGAGTAAATAAGTTACAATATTCAATATCTTCTAGATAGTGCATCAAATCTTATACTAGAGTTTGAATACTTCTAATTCATTCTTAGTGGATTTCCAAATTATATTTTATATGAATCTTCAGGATTTTGATTGTACCACTAAATAATAAATTCAGTCTTGCATTTGGCATTTAGGGGATACTTCAATTGCCAAAATCACCATTATTCTTATACCTTCTATGGTATTTAGAGGATATGAAAACTTCATTGCTAGCTTTAATGACACCTTCATGATATTTAGGATTCCTCATTTTCTTTCTCTCGGATCTACATTCACTTTGGAGATTAATGGTGTGTTTTCAAGAATCGACTGGTAAATCCTTCATGGATTAAATCCTTCAAGGATGTTCTCATTCTTAGTGAATGACATTTCTCTTCTATAAGATATATTCTCTACTACATGAGAGATTATTATGTGATATACACAATGAGATAATGTTATTTACTACAAAGTCATTCGATGACTATTCCTTCTAGGATATGCTCTTCTTGAAACTTCAATATTCATTCAGGAATATATTATACCTTAGACTTCTTAATATTTGGTATGAGATTTAATTTTCATATGTTGCGATTTATATTCTTTAGAAACTATATGGATCTTCATAATTCACTTATTAACTGCATATTTCATAATCATTAATTTCATTTGCCAGAGTTATAGCATAACATTTATTTCTTCTTAGTAGGAGATTCAACCTCAATTGCTTTCTTCATTGGCCCGATATAATCGCTACAGGCGACTTTGCCATGGACTTTGTTTTTTGGATCCGGGTTCTCATAAAATAAACATTTGCAATTATAGAGGTAGTGTTGTCGACAACTATTATTTTCTCTCAATATTCTCATAATATGAGATTATTCTGTCTCTTTGTTATTTCCCAAACAATAGATGATTTATTGTTCTGCATACCCAACACTAATGATGCGCACAGTTAATGTGTTGAATTTCATCTTCATGATGATTCTCTTCATGAGGTGCTTAACCTTCTTCATGAGGTATTCTCTTCATGAGAATAGAGGAGTTTGTTCTTATTTCATTTGACAAGTATACACTAAACTAGAATCCACAGACGTCTTCGTAGATTTTAGCTTAATAGTATACAATACTTAATTTACTACTAGTAAACACAACTTCTGTTTTATAACTTGAAGTTACTCTTCTCATTTTTCAAAAAATATCTGGCATATGCTCCACTTCATGCTTCACAAGAGCATTAGTCAAACTATTATTTGATTTAGTGCGTGATACTATTCCTGCTTCAAGCTTCAAGGAATATTTTTCTCTTAAGTTCATTTTCCTTCTATGCAAATAATATTTGGCATTCAAAATAATCTTTCTCTCCCCCTAATGCCAATATTAGATCTTTAATAGCATTCTTAAAAAATATCCCCTATTATAGGCTTAAAATAATTCAAATTCATGTATATCTCCAACTACAAGTGGAGACCCATTCATGTATGTTATGATGGAGTTTAATGGGAAATATTCACGCACATATTGAAACACGGGGGTTATTATTCATTAAATGCAGCGAGCTAGAATACATAAAGTGCACTTAAGAATGTTCAGCATTCCTACAAACTCAGGGATGTTCTCCCTCTGATTTGCACATATCATGATTTATAAAACTATTTTATCATCTAGCTTCTTTATTCTTTAGCCTAAAAAATGATCCAAGTACTCATATGTTAAAAAAATAATGGACCATACACATTAAATGTATATAAAATACACAACATTCAAAATCACATGGAATTTCTTATAGAAATTTCTAATTGCCATTAATACAAAATTCCCCAAATGCATTTTCTTAAAAAATCCCAAATCATTTAAGTGTGTTACCCACCATCTTAATTCCATAATTATTCATCCCATCAATTGGGTCACTTCTCCATTTAGCCGATTTCAGATTAACCAACTCCCCCTGATGTTAGGCTACTTGGCCATAGACCAATATGTTTCTTATGCATGCAACGCATTAAAAGCAAAATATTCCTTAGTTCAATGAGAACTAGCGTGCTAGCTAGACAATTTAATTATGAGGGAAAAATATAGTAGCTACAAGCTACGAATATAGCTTCTATGCTGATATTCATGCATGAGTGAAGAAAGTTGCAGTTCAACAAGAGCACAACATAGTGATACACATTCATGTGTAATGTGGAATGTTGGTATTCAATTCAACGTAATAGATAACAACAAAATGCAAAGCTACAAGCTTACTTACAATTAGTGCAATATAGAGAAAGTTAACTCGGCTGGAAGTAACACGGCTAGAACTTCAAGTCCTTATACATGTACTTAAAGATATATTTAGAAAGGTTATGCCTATTAAATAATAAATATTATCTACTTTTTTCTCATGCCTTTATCCAAAATTCCTCAACTTTTCATGCCATAACTACTTCGATCAAGTAGTAATATGCTTCATGCACCATCTATGAATAATCATTTCTAATGTTCCATAGAATCCAATCATACTTCTAGTATACATTGGTGCTGACAAGAAATTCACATATCTAGTGTACTATTTAGTGTACAATAACATATTCAGAGTAGGACATAAACTTCTTGTTTTTGTGTTAGAGTATTAAATACTTAGTTTTAGGATCATGCTATTTCTTGGATAAATCGATCCTTGTAAGATCGATTAATATGCCAGTATAGTCCAATTGTTCGTGTGCTAGGAAATTCAGTTCCCCTTCTACCTACATGGTACTGGTGCACAAAGAACTATAACCTTCATGGTTAATTGATGCTTATTTGTGGATAAAATTATGCAAAACTTATTTAGATAGGCAATTGTTTATATGTGAAACATATAAATCTAATTTATTCCATGAGAAGTTAACACATATTACTTCAAGAAATA